AGACCTGACTCTACCTGATTAACTGCTCTCCACTTTCTTTCTTTCTGACTTCAATGCGTGATGCCAACTTTGATGTTGCTTGAGTTTTAGTAAATCAGCACCGTCGCCCGTCCAGGTTGCTGTGAAAAATAACCCTTCAGAATCAAAACCTTTATTTTCTCTGCTTCTTCTTCTCACTATAACATTCATAAGAACCAGCTTCTCTATAGTCTATCCAGACAGATGCCAATACAATAAAAGCAGAAGGTACTGTTTTCTCCCACCATAGAGCCTGACTGTAATTATATTTAATAACCCCTTTTGGGAATTCTTTACCATCAGCTTGGCTGCAGGAAGTATGACCAGGTGTTGCTGTCAGTATGCAAAGGAATTAATGGAGGTGGAGAGAAAACCATATGTTTGTGGGTGATTTGATTCTCAGTAATTGTGATAGTCTTTGTTGCTGTCTCCACCTCTTCCTGACCTGAAAAGCCCCACGGGATGAATGTAGTCAAATCAAAACAAAGACAAGAAAAAAACAGAAGATTGACAGACTGCAAGGAAGGAGATCCTGCAGTAAGGAGGCTCCTTTAATATGTCTGTGTGTGTGTGTGTGTGCGTGTGCGTGTGTGTGTGTGTGTTGTGTGTGTGTGTGCGTGTGTGTGCGTGTGAGCGTGCGTGCGTGCGTGCATGCGCGTGTGTGTGTGTGTGCGTGCGTGTGTGTGTGCGCGTGTGTGTGTGCGTGTGTGTGTGTGTGAGCGTGCGTGCGTGTGTGTGTGTGCGTGTGTGTGTGTGTGTGTGTGTGTGTGTGTGTGTGTGTGTGTGTGTGTGTGTGTGTGTCAGGCATTTTATCAAGAGAAATAACCAGAGATTACGTCTTTCAACAGGGTCATGGCGGGTTGACAAAAGGAGATAATGCGGATTAAACCAAAGGCCTCTGAAGGTGCTAATTTATGACATAACTACCAATCATTCCGTCAATATTACCTGGAATTACATCACCAGTAATAATAAGATGCTCTATGCTCTCTTTTATCAGCCTATGAGGTTGCATCAGATCAGCTCGACAGTGATCCCTGTCACTCTCTCAGACCATGGCCTTGAATGTTTACCCTTCACCTAATGCAAGCCAAGAAAGTGTGCAGCGGTAAAAAAAAAAAAAAAGGTGTGTGTGTGTGTGTGTGTGTGTTGGGGGGGGGGTAGGAAGAATGTATGTTTTAAGAATTTAAAGCACAACTGCAAGGTATGTACATATCAATCAATCAATCAATCAATCAACCAGTCATATGTAATTCTAATAATACTGTATCATGTAATCATGTTTCATAGCAGCAGGCCGTTCCCACGAACGATCCAGAGGAACCTATGAGAGAGAGAGAGACAGAGAGAGAGGAGAGAGAGAGAGAGAGAGAGTTTTAAGTCTACTCTTAAAAGTACTAATTGTGTCCTGACCCTGACTGGTAAATGATTCCAAACGAGAGGATAGAACATTTAGAGACCTGCATTCTGGGAGCATAATGTTCTTGAAGGCCAATACGGCATGATTAGCTCTTTAAGATAAGAAAGTGACTGATCTTTAAGAGTTTTGAAAGTGAGAAGAAGGATTTTAAATGATATTCTAAATTTGACTTATTATGCAGAATGGCCCATGAAATTTAAACTTTAATATGACCTCATAATATTTGCTGATGTCATTTTGTATTATGTTTTTAAACTCAATTGTAACAGATGTTAAACAAAGAATCAGTGTAGCTATAAGCATAAGAATATTTTCTGTCGCAGAGTTTGAAGAGAAAGTACAAGTCACTGTATTTAGTTAGTCTTTACACCTGAAGTGTTTCACCATTGCTCAAGATGCTTTCAAGCCTCATGACTGCTTTACCTATGCAGCAACTTTTAATCTTTTTTATTATGGTTTCTTTTTATCTTTACTGCATCTTGCAATCAATATTTCCTAATTGGGGTGTGGCTTCATGGATGTCAGATGTGTAGTAAAAAGGTTTTGCTGATTGGTCAACAGATTTTACTTCATGCATGATATTTTTTGATCTCTTTCCTTTAACTGTTTTAGCACCAATACACCAAGACAAATTCCTTGTATTTGTAAATGTACTTGGCAATAAAACTCGATTCTGATTCTGATTCTGATATACATTTAAGGCTCAGGAAGAATCAAAGAAGAATCAAAAGGACTTTGGTGATCCTCTGGCTTTTCCTTAAGCACCACCACAATGTTAATGTACATGATTTTTAACTATATCTTGACACCTATTGAATTAGTTTCAATGAAACTTGGTTCTTAAATCCAATGTCTGTATGAAGTATTTATTTGTATACATTGTGATAAGTGCCAATGTCAAAATAGTCCATTGGCTTGGTTTTGTATCAGCTTGTTTTGCATTTCAGTGCCTGACTGTCATCATTTTTGCTGTTGTTTTCATTTATCTAGTTCATTAAAACCTTTAATGAATAATTGCTTTGTGTGGTAGACTTCTAGGCTATATATTTGTCTGTCCTACGGGCCACATAAATTGCAGGTTTTTACCAATTAAAATAATACATGGTAACCTAGAAATGAAATGAAAAGAACAAGTATTGGACACAAATTGCTTATGTGTTAACTTGATTTTGAATTAAAAAGATAATTTCACATCAATGCCAATGGTTTTGACAAGAAATCTGTGGAAACAATAGTAGCGTTAGCCAGCATTTTACTCCTGAAAAATAAAAACTATTTTAGAATCTAAATCTGTTTTCTAAGTCTGTCCAACACAGAGACAGTATCACCAAACAGACAACTTCCTCTCCAGTCTCCAGCTGTTCCAGTACTGTGCTCATGTCTCATAGGTGTGCTCGTAGTGTGTTCCATTCCTCATGCCATCCCACTGCCAACTGGCCTTCTGCATGGACGTCAAAATAACTCTTGCCCCTGATACACAAACACATGGCAGATGTTCATCATCGATATTAGCACAGGTCTGGAAGGATCTTTTCTGGACTCTCAGTGATGTAAAGTGGGCATGGAAATGATGGAAAAGGTAAAATAGTTTTCTTCTGTGCACCAATCAGAGTTTGGCAACATCTTAGTTTAGAAAAAAAGAACAATTCCCCTTTGCTTTTCTTCTCATTCTGAAGTCACATTTTTTCAACAATGTAATGGCTATGGGGCACAGGATAACCTAGCGGTTAAGTTGCACGCCCAATTTACAGAGGCTATAGTCCTCAGGGCAGTGGCTGTGAGTTTGAATTTGACCTCTGCCCTTTACTGCCAACTCTCTCCTCTCAGCATTTCCTGTCTCTCTTAAGCTGTCCTAAGGCAAAAAGGCCCCAAAATATAACTTTAACAATGAAATGGCTATAAAATAATTATATCATTAGCATTTTCCAAATTCCACTTTAAATATGAAATTCTGCTTGGCATTGGGTCTGATCTCCAGGGGGGAAAGTGAAGGTTAGATTTAGTGTAGTGTAAAGGTTTTGTTTGTGTTTTACTGTCAATTTTGTCTGAAGAGTTCACAACGAAAGCCGCTTGACAAGGTCAGATTTGCTCAGCTGTTGAGTTCTTCATTTCTAATAAATAAGCTTGCTTTTTTCCAAACCTAAACAATCTTTGGCTTATTTAAACATAAACAATAAATATTATTGGGGAAAACTTTTGTACTTAAAAAAATGTTCACAGGCATCCTTAAAATACCAACGTTTGAAAGATGGACTTTTTTCAGAATTTAAGTGGTGTGATTTGTGCTTTAGGCATGTCTGTTTGTTTGGCAGCAGCAACCGAAATCTGATGTTAACTCTGAGCTCAAATTGAAACAGCACAAACCTCATGTCGCCGCAGGTGAACTAATCACAGCATGCTACAACTAAGGTGCTCTTTGTTTATCATTCCTGCACACATGTGTTCAGTTCTACTAGATATCCTTTTATTTTCTGTGCAGCTGACATTCAGTTCAAAAGGAGAGATCCAAAACAGCAGGAATGTTTTAATGTGTTCATAGCATGAATAAGTCTGACAAGAAGCAAAGGTAGAAATGATAAAAGTGTCTAGACCAAATACAAATACAGCAACAATGTGGCATGATCAATGAGAGTTATGAAGTCAGAATGCTGAAAGCTCAGACCTATTCTCCAACAAGTTAGGAAGGAAGCAAATCAACTGTAGAAATGTAGATTTAGAGACAATGATAATATTGACAGACATTTGATAGATATTTTTACCCCTCATGAGAACTCAGGATGATTTTTTTTCTTCAACTGCCCTTCATAGTCTCTTTACACTCTTATACCAAGCACACTGGTTAATCAGTCTGAATACTTTTACACACTTGGCACAAGCTGAACCATACGTCTTCAGACGTGTTCACTCAGGGTTCAACTTCTCTTATCTTAGTGACACACCCTGAATTATAGCAGAATTAATTCCTTTGGCAAAGTTCATTTTGTTAATAGAGTTAACTAAATTTGAAGCATTCACATAATTCACATGAATTTAAATAACCTCTTTGTCATTCTCAGAATACCAGGGTGTTGTTTTTTCACTGTCATATCTCTGCTATGTAAAGTTGCATGACTCTCCTGCCTAAACTGGGTGAAGAGTGACCTTGGCTTCATATATCCTCATTCCTGTCACAGTGATCCTGTTTGCAACAAACACCATGACTCATCAGAAAGCTCATGTCTACACTGTATAATAAAAGCTATACTCTGTTTATGTTAAACCTAAAAATGACTCTTGTTTCTTTTAAGAAGTCACAGTTATTGCACAAGTAGGCTAGTATTATTAGTATCATTACAATTAGGCTATAAACTTTGATTTATATTTTTTTTGTCTAAGGCTACAAATCTAATGTTAAAATAAATCATATTTTTTTAAAATCTTTGACAACCCCCTTTGGAAGGCGATATTTAAATGATACAGTTAGTTCTATATGTTACAATTTACATCTGACGAAGGGACTTGGCTCATCAAGACCTTCGGCAAATTAATCTGAAACAATGAAAGATAGTGATAAGCACACTTCGGTTGATCTTCAGTGAGCACACGAGCAGTCGCGCGTGCAGAGCTCAGCGGTTGGACCACTTGTTGAGTTCACAACAGTTCACCATTGCTCTATTTAAAGAGACAACAACATGGCACACGGGCTGGTCAGACAGGAGTCTGTGGAAACCGAGATGCACAAGTCTGAAACCAAAAAAAAAACGTTTGTTTTCACCAAGAAGAGGGGCTACGATGTCACCCGAAACCCCCACCTCAACAAGGTAAGAGCGGTGACTCACTTGTTTGACTGATTGGCTTGTTTCTATGAACTAGGTTGTCAAGTAGCTGCTGCCTTCAGGGGCTGTAGGACATATTATATTTCTAAATAGAGAGGCATCTACCAATCGTAGTATCATGAGTGATTTGGACGAGGGAAGATGAGGATGCTTTGATTCATCATAATTACGACAACATTAAACCGGAATGTGCTATAACAAGATTTCGCTCAAGGCTAAGTGGTTGCAATCTTAACAATAGGCCTAGACTAGGCCTGTGTGTGTAAATGTTGAGACACATTCACAGATAGCCTACATTTTCTTCACACCACTACCTTTTATCACCCATTAAATATCCCTCGTATAAGCTATGTAGACTGTTCAGTAGCCTTCTTGAAGTGGTTTCTGTTTATTTCCTGGACTTCTGGCATCAGCCCACGAGCAGTAGGCTACTCGAACGCAACATTATCTGGGAGTTATCAGCTTTAGACCCGGTTATATTTAGATTTAAAGGGACCAAACGCCGCTGTCACACAGAGTGGGGCTTTTTTTAATACTGCTTTGTCACCTATTGCCTTTCAAAGACTCTAATTTGGTAATAGTGCAGAAGGTCGCCTCAATCTCAATCTTAATCTTTAGGCTATTTGTAAAGCCGCAATTCATAACAAATGTTATCTTGAGACAATTTTTAAAAAGCAGGTAAAATACCTTACTCTTTGTTATTTAATAATGACAAAAGAGCAGGTAAACCACCTTACTCATTGTTATGTAACAAAGGAAAAATGGGATGGGGGATTTGGGATACGATGCCTCAGGCCCAACTAACCACAATGCACTAAGCCTCGGCCATATCATTCAGAATTGAATTGACTAATATTCTATAGGCCTATGTGAGCTCACTATGGGAACTGATATCATGACAAGCGAGAATCATCTCTGTCTTTATGTCACATAAAGAACGTTTTTGCTATTTACTAAAATGGGGAACAATAGGCGTACTATGGGAGATTGCATAATCTTGTAACAAAAAATGCTGAGCAGCTTCCTTGTAGATCATGAGATACAGAGGATGCTGAACTTGTTCTTATTGTGGGAACTATAGTTTGTTGACATTTTTAACATGACTGCTTTGACCAACCTTACCTGCATTATTAGCTAGTTGTATGACTCTCCCTTTGCTTATGTGCACTTTTAACAAAAGAGCCTCTGGCAGCATGTGAGCCATTTCCAGTGTTTTCCCTTGGTTTGTGTGTGGTGTGACGGGCCCCCAGAGGTCAAGCTGTAGTGACCAGGGTCTCTGTCCATGGTGCTGACTGCCCATCCAAACAACAGACTGGAATTTACTCTAGAGTCTGACCAATCTATGTCAAAGACGGACACATTTCAGAAAACTTGAAAAGTCCTCTCCCCCCTGAGCTTCTATCTGCACTCCCACTTGCTAAAGATATTTCCCCTTTGAAAGCTACAGTTATAGACCTTTAGAACTTTAGGTCTATCAATGTCCAAAAGTAGGCTATATAGCTTTTGGTTTAAGTATCACTGTGAGTTATCAAACATTTTTTAAAGAAAAAAAGCTGTTCTAGTGTGATAAAGGTTATGTCAGTTACCCCAGTTGAAGCAGCTGCCAGACAGGGTGGTGTGATCAGTGAGCTGATATGTGAGGCAGTGAGGTTGGAACAGACCATTGTCCCTGAAGTGAGGGGTGGTGAGCTGGTGACTGTTCAGAGACTTGATTGTTAGGCAAGTTCATGACACAACTCTTGAGACCAGCTCATGCTGCAATGCCGTGTGTTTGTTTTAGTAATTAAAAAAACACTCTCTTATCTTGTGTCCCGTGAATTAAGTGTTGCATTTTGCAACTTCATTATTTTCTTCTTGTTTGTGCATTTCTGCTCCAGAATTTTGAATTTGCCTTGACTTCTAACCAGGGAGTCAAGATTATGTTATTGTGATAGATGCATTTAATTGCTATAAGAGCACTTAGTTAATTGAGTCTGTTGGTAATCTATCTCTCATGAACCCAAGTGGTCAGATTTGTTAAAGTTCTGCAGCTGTGTGACAAAGATTTGAATGAGGGTTAAGTGAGGCACTTATTAATGCTCACTGTATTACTTATAGTTGGTGTTTGTCAGCAGAGCCCTTTTGGAGAAGCTGTCTGAAGTAATGAAAATGAAGCTAAGCTTGTACCGCTGTGAATGATGTTTAACAGCAAAACTCATTTTAACTAATTAAAAAGACATTCAAATTTAAATAAAATTTTAAGTGCACACCACATTTTAAATATAACCCTCTTAAAAAAAATCTCTAAAAGATTTATCTACCAAGATTGTATGAATGATCAAGTTGGAAAGCTTTAACTTAAAAGTTCATTATTGCGGCGTCTTGAAATCCCTCTTGAGTTTTCTTTCTCTGCCTGTTAATAATAGAGGTCATTCTGGGACCCACAGCACTTAAACTGACCCAGTAAACTGTTTGTTTACATCTCAATTTACACCTTGGGACTCTGAATGGGTGCTGTGTACAACAGGAGCTGTTCAAGGGGGCCGATTGGTTGACCTAAATTCATGTGAAGCATGACTGGTGAGCACATGCGATGGGGCACTTAATTATGACTATTCCAATAGAGATCTTTTTTTAAACATGTTTTTTAAAATACAAACCAGCAGCTTTAATATAAAATTAGAGACAAGCTTAAGTTATCGAGTGTCTTAGACACCTTCCTGCTATTTTCTGTATTTCCTTTTCCTGTGAGTAATGTTAAGGATAAATGTTATGAGAGCAGCTGAATAATAACAAAAGTACAGAAACTGGTCTGCTTTGACAGTAAGAACTTTCACAGTTCTTTCAATCACTAATTTAAACAAACATACATTCCAATACTTGTTTGTTGGTCATTGTATCTAAAAGAAAAATGAATGCTATTCTATTTTGATAGAAAAGTAAAAAATTGGCTCATACGACCAATTTTGTCTCCATAAAATAAACGTAGTATTGATTCCAACACAAATATTCCTATATTGACTTATGCTGCATAGCAGGCAATTAGCCAATCAAGGTTGGTGGTTGTATCCGATAAACTTACCATTTCATCAGATAGCTTAAATGACCCAAAACACAGACTCCTTCAAACACACACAGGTTGGAGTCACAGCAGAAAAAAAGGTTTCTTATGCTGCCAGGTGAAACATTCACTGTCAGCCCCGTACATGAACTGAGGCAAGGAAATTGGAGGAGAAGGTAGGAAATGACTGCTAAAGCGTGTTAGCGGCCAAAGACAGGTAGGCTTCTGTGGCTAAGGCAGTGGCACATTGTTGCCCTCCTTCTGATTCCAGTGAACCCTGGGGATGAGGTGTGTTTACCTCCCTCAGCTGGCCCACGTCACCTCTAACTGGAGCCAGTCACACAGAACAACCTGCTAATTGAAGCCGAGGGCTGCCGTGCTGAAAGCAGCCTGTCCTCACGTCGACAGGCTTCGATTTCTTTTTTAATCTCTGCACTCACACATATAAACATGCGGAGCTGACACATGTGCATGACGTATATATGCACACATACAGCTTTAAAATACTTAATTAACACTCCATCCTCCTTCTTCAGGGGTGGGTCCTGATATTAGGTGCGTTTAGTGTGAGCTCGCTACATGTGCAATAAAGCCGTAAAGTGGGGTTCAAGGTGTAGAAAGGGTCCTCTGTAAAAGAGCGAGCTGGCCACACTCCACAGACGTCCTCTGTCTCACTGCTTGATCACACGTTAATGAAGTGTCTATGTGAATCCTGCCACTCAGTGGGTCGCTCTGACGCTGGTTTCCGCCTGCTGTGGCCTTGAAAAACAACAACAACCCTCCTTAAAAATGCTTTCAGTAACCAATCAGTGAGTCTGTTTCACCTCAAACACTGCACTAAGCTGTTGTTGGGGACGGTGGTCAAAAGATGCCTTTTCACTTGCGCTGTACCTTGGTTTAAAAAGGCAAAAACTTGAGTCAGTGAAAGCTTCAGCCCTATTTTAAACCCACCGTTATACATTAATCGTCTTAGAAATACCCGTTTATAATAAACACAATAGTGTAGTAGTAACTTAGCAACGATATTAGAGCTGTGTCATCAGAATACTTAAAGGTCACATATTATCCTCATTTTTAACCAGTTTTCATAAGCCTCAGAGCTACCCAAAACATGTTGCCTGTTGCATTTTTGCCAAAAAGCCACCCTGATCCTGTATTTGATCATGCCTATAAACGGCTCTATTTCAGCCCTGCTCAGAACAGGCTATTTCCGTGTCTATAGCTTTAAATGCAAATGAGCTGTGTCTGACCACACCCCCTCTCTGGAAGAGCTTGTAGGGCTCGGACTTTTTTGCTTAATGCCCTATTTACAGTGAGAAGGCAGACTCGGAGGGCAGAACAAACACCTAGCTGTGGGAGTGTCACCCACCTGGGGGAGGGGCTACTGCCCTTTGTGATGTCACAAATGGAAAATCTCCACAAACGGCCTATTTGAGCACACATTCTCTGAAAAGTGGAGCAGGCAAAAGATGAAGAGGACAAGCTTTTCTCATAATTTGGGGGTTTGTAGACAGACTAGGAACACATATTAGTTTTAGGAAAACATGGTAAAGTGTATTTTGCATAATATGTGACCTTTAAGAATGCACTGATTTGGTGACTCTAAACTACAGTCATCTTCATTCAATTGAAAATGAATGGCCAAAGTCACACAAACCCTGGGTAGGCCTGGTGGTGATTAAAAAACAGCATTCATTTTATGTGTTAGCACATACATCATCAGGTCCCTGAAAAAACTGTAAAATCACTGAGGCATACACATGAATACTGTAGGTCCCAGGAGGAAAATGGTGCTATCACTCACATTGTAAAGCAAAATCCAAAGAAAATACAATTTATCCCCTTGATTATGCAGTTATATTTTGTTTGCCCAGAAAGTGCTTTAATTTGATGCTCCACATATGACATAGCAAGATAGCCTGGCAGATGTAAGAAATCTGTGTCT